AAAAAAAAAAAAAAAGGTATTAAGAAAAGAATCACAAACTTTAACAAATTTACAAAGAAAAATGACAAATGAGCAAAGGTCTTGATGGTGACAACCTAGATAAAAATTGAAAAGGCAACTTCGGTGTAAAAAGAATAACCTTTTCTCATTATTCATGTTAATTTTGATAGCCAAAGTTGGCTTGTAAAACAAAAAAACGGGGAAGTTCCAATAATGAAAAGAGGATGTCAAGCAACAACAAAAAAAAAAAAAAGAAAAGAGAAAGATAAAAAGAGGACTTTTTTTCCTTTTGTCTTTAAATGTCAAATATTGAAATCTACACAGCAGTCCCCAATCTTTTTGGCACCAGGGACTGGTGCTCCTATGGGAATCTAACACCGATGATCTTAGGTGGAACTGAGGCTGTGATGCTAGCTCTGGGGAGTGGCTGCAAATACAGATGAAGCTTAGCTTGCTAGCCCACTGCTCACGTCCTGCTGTGCAGCCCAATTCGTAACAGGCCACAGATCGATACTGGTCTGCGGCCCAGGGGTTAGGGACCCCTGTTCTACCATGATGAAGTCCACAGAACCATCCTACCTTTGAGTCACTCTATACCCTTAACTCAGTCAGTTGACCCATGATCTGGGCCTCTCCTTCCTACGGTGCTCACAGAAAATCCCCACCCAGAGCTGGACAGTATGCTTCAATAATAGACAACATCTAATGTTTAATACTTTGTCAGAAACAGACATAGACATAGATAGATGTGTAGGGCAGTCAAGTCCTCAAGTTCTAGCAAAACAGACATGCATTCAAATTCGGCCTCTTTAGATGTGACCTCCAACAAACAAATCAACTCTAAGTCTCTGGTTTTCTTATCGACGATAACAAGTGTCTATCTCAAGGGTCCCCTGAGGATTATGTGAGATCAGATAAGTAATATTTGGCCCAGTGCCTGGTGCACAGTGGGTGCTCAGTCTCTGTTAACTATAATTATTATAAACATGGAGGGCACCGCAGACAACAAATAATTAATCTACTTTGTACCCACTCTAATAACTACTGTTTTCCAGGCACCTTCACCATAGGAAAAAAACTTCTGATAATCACTAATACGATCGTCTTAAGATCTAATCCTTTTAATGCAAAAACTACAGATGTGGAAAACAGATCATTCACTGCTAAGGGTGGAGTGGTGACAGGTCACTAGAAGGAGGTAGCAGAATGCAGGTGGTGGTAGAACTGCTCTGCATCCTGACTGAGATGGCTGTTACACAGTCAAAGCACTGGTCAAAACTCATGAAACTGTATGCCAAAGAGAAATCTTACCATATGTCAATTAAAAATATTTTTTAAACTGCAAAACAAAAATCCAACCTTTTCTAACTAGAGAATAAATCAAAATAATGACACGATTGAATTTCTAAATCCCCAAGATACTATAAATGCAAAATTCTATTTATTATCCTATAACTAACACAAAGCATATCCAATTTTAGTTACCAGTTCTGATTTATTCAAGCACAAAATGTCAATACCATAATAAACATGAGGCACTGCTTTTCTATAACAGATGCAAAAAGACTTTGGAAATGTACCTACATCAACACTAAATATGAGTGGTACTCACGATTTAGGTACAAAAGGGAGTTTTATGATATTTTAGCCTTGGCTGCATCGATCTCTACTTTGATGCCTAATGAGTAGGTTACTTAATGTGCATGAATTTTCAATTTCTAAAAAGTAATATATAAATAGTAGACTCTAAAGAATTAATAATGCTTAAAATAGCACCCGTGATACACCCAAAAAATATTAATTCAAAAATTGCACAGTGACAAAGGTAAAGTCCCAATACAAACACATTTTATCATTGTCACCTCCTGGTTTCACTCTATGTAGAGGTTTGGCTACCAAGTAATTAAGACTTTTTCCCCCCAATTCAAATAATCTGGAGAAGAACAAAGCAATGTGAAATGAACACTGAAAATGCCCTTCAACTGGTGAATGTGTAAACAAATTATAATATATCTATGCAATAGAATACTACTCAGCAATTAAAAAGCAATCAACTATTGACAGTTGCAAAAACAAAAATGGCTCATTTATGATAAGTGAAAGCAGCCAGATGCTTCTCCCTGCTGCACCCCTCCTCCAAAGAGATTTCATTTAGATAAAATCCTGGGAAATACAAACCTATCTAGAGTGACAGAAAGATTAGTGACTGCCTAGAAGATAGTGGCCCATGGAATTACAAGGGGCAAGATGAAACTTTTGGGGGTGAAAGATACATTATCTTGATTGTGATGGTTTCATGGTATATACATGTAAAACACATCAAACTGTACACTTTAAACGTGTGCAGTTTGTTGTACAACAATTACATCTCAATAAAAAGAAAAGGATCATTTAAAAAAATATCTTACTGGCCTAGTACAGGATACCTTGGAAATATTGTGGGTTTGGTTCCAGACCACTGTAATAAAGGAAGCATTGCAATAAAGCAAGTCATAATCTTTTTGCTGGTGGGGAGGAGGGGGGTCTTGCCTGCCATTTGTAAAAAATGCAACAACTGTGAAATGCAATAAAGCGAAGCTCAATAAAATGAAATATCCCTGTATGTGAAAACAGAAGCAATGAATATCACACTTAGGAAATACTTTTCTTCCTCATATTCACAGAACACAAGATGCCACAAAAATTTTGTTAAACCATGGCCCAAGGTTTTCTAAATCTTTGAGTTCAACATTTATTAAAAGTAAAAATATGCACACAGTTGTTGTCATAATAGAAGTTACATAACAACATACCAGACTGATAGATTCTCTTTAACTTTTGAGAATGCTAAATTGGCATCCTGACATCAAGGTGACCGGCAAAAGCACAGAAAAACGTGCCATATTGTCCACTGTATTTAAAACATGGAATAAATAACAATTGTGAACTGTTTAAGAAAGACAGTTTGCAAAGAGACCATCTTTATCTTTAGTCCATTCCACACCCTGAACAAGTGTTCCTTGCACTTTAGGGTGCACTTCTTGGGGAAGATTCTGATTCAGTGGGTCTTGGGATGGGGTATGAGACCAGTTCTTACAAGCTTCCAGGTGGTGCCAATGCAAGTTAGGGCCCTACCTAACTTGAATATTGGTTGTAAAATTAGCCAGTTGGCCTACAAATATGGTTATGTACAGGATCCAGGTAATGAGTTCCTAGTATAGGAGAAAAAAGCGTGTGTGGCGAGGGGGGAGGAAGGAGCAAGTAAATATTTTAATCGTTATTTGTATAGTACAGCAGTGCTAAGAACCACAAAATACAGGCATCGTTCATTTTATTGTACTTTGCTTTATTGCGCCTCACAGGTGTTGGTGTTTTGTTTTGTTTTTTAACAAATGGAAAACAAGACTCTCCCTCATCAAAAAGTATAATTCTGACTGGCTTTATTGCAACGCTTGCTTTTTTTGTGGTGGTCTAGAACAGAACTCGCAATGTCTCCAAGGTATGTCCATACTGTTACTTGCTCCCACCTAGCAGCTGTCAAGGTGACAATGTAAACTCCATGAGAGAAATTTTTAAAAAAATTTACTACAGCATCGTTATGGCCCTGCACACATTAGGTACTCAATAAATGTATTGATCAAATGAATAAATGAGAAGTATACACAAACACAACCTGTATTTATGTCACAACCCAAAAACGTCTGGGAAAGGGACTATATTTGTATATATGGGTATTTATACAAATAACTGACTCATTAATTGTATTCCATTTTGTCCTTTAACAAAAGCATTTTCCAGACCAATAGTTCCACTTTAAAGTCCAGGCTTCTCGCACCCTTATGTTTAAAATTTTTATCTCTTTGAAAACAATGAAAATAGGTGGAAGCACAGGGAGAAGGATTCAGAAAAGGCTCAAACATCAAAGGGGGAAAAAAAAACAAACAAACAGGGGAAGAGATGGGCAAACAGTTCGGTTCAAGCGAAGGAACATCTTAGCTTGTCAGGAGTTCCATGTTCTTACCTATGATGGTGGCAGGGTTTGGGTTCGGGCTTTTATTTGTTTTGTCCCTGTCCAGGGTCACTCGTGAAGTAGTACCTAGTTGTAGAAGCTCAGACTAAAGAGGAAGCAGGCTCTCAAGCCAACCTTCACAGTCTCTGGAGATACGGGCTTCGGGCTAGGGTCCCCCTTCCCAGGGTCTCCCCGCGCGCCGGGGAACGCTGCCCCGCCCAAACACAAAATGATCCAGGCTGCCTCGCTCTGGGCTTGAAGTCACAACCAGGACTTAAGATGTCAGCGAAATGTTAGCAGAGGGTCCTGGAGAGCGCGCGGAATGTGCCCGAAAGAAAAATGGCTCCGTTCACGATCTCGCGGCTTTTAAGAAGGGACCAATACAAAGCTGGCGGACGAGGCTGGCTGTTCAGAGCCTGTGAACGCAGGCAGTAGGATTGGCGGGTAACGAATCAAGGTTACCCACATTAAGAGATAGAAAAATAAAACACATTTCTGTGGCACAGAGTGCTTTTTGACACGTAAAATTACTAGCACAAGGATGCAAAGATTTCTTGGAATCTTTGATGGGGAAGATAATGAAAGAGACAGGTTTGAAAGTAAAGGTGGCTTTCACAATGCCAGATGAACTTTAAAATAGCCAGAAACATAATTTCCTCAAAAATTATTTGGAATGGTACAGGAAAATAAGCGTTTTGTCCTCGGACTAAAAAACAGAACTTGTGACCTTCCCCAACACCCACATACCAAGCACAGGACATAAGCAGCATAAGCGGGGCCAACTCGCACTGCGCAAGCCCCGCTTCCCACCCCGATCCAGAGAAATGGTTAATTAGTCCTTTACTCCTCGTTTTCACGGCAGCCGTAAAAGAAGGCGGGCAATTGGCGTTGAACGACAGAATCAGTTCCTTTGCGATTGATCAAATCAGGGAGGCTGCGGAGCTGCTGAAAACTGTTTTCTAATTTTTCATTCATTCAGTAAGTGCCTCTTAAGCATGCGCCATAAGAAAGATACTGTGCCCTAACAAGTCCATTTGCTGTTATTTAAATGTTTCAATTTCAACAATTTGCTGAGATTGAAGCTGAATAAACCCCACTCCTATTTTACGGCCACTTCCACAGCTTCCTCGACTGAGTACTTCAGTAAGACCCGGAGAGCGGAACGCCTGAGGGAATCACGCCCATCGCAGAGCTGCGCATGCTCCGTCTCCAAGCACGGGGATCCGGTTGCCAGGATCGGTGGAGCCTGCTGCCTGAGGCTCGGCCTCTGGGGCTTGCTGGTGGCGGCTGTCCAGGGAGGTGAGGCGGCTGGTGGGCAGGTGAGAGCGCTGGAACCTCGGGTGGAAAAGCCAGCTTTCTACCCGGCTGAAGAGAGGGGCGGGGGACTTGTAGGTGTCTCTTCTCTCTCTCAGAAAGGTCACTGGTGTCCTTTCCGAAGGATATTTGGGGGCGGGGATAAGGAGGAGGCTGGCTCCTAAGGAAGCGAAAGACCTGACTTTAAAATAGCAGTAGGCGCTAAATACTTGCCTGTAGCCGGAAAGTGGATGGCGAGGGCGTGTTCTAGTAGTATGGGTAGAGCTCCAGGTGTAGAGCCTCCTTACCCATCTGCAGAGCCACGCGGTGAAGTACATAGCAAAGGTGTTCCCATGAAAGCACTGATTGCACCTGCGCTGCCACCTTCTAGCTGGAACATGTGACTCCTCTTTCGCTAGGACGGCTCTCTGCGTGTGTTTATGTGGGAGGTGGGGGCCATTCTCGGAAATGGAACTGGAGGTCAAAACTGCTATACAGCGAACATGGCAGTGCCAGCCATTTGAAAGCAGAAGCAGGAATCGGGTTTTTTTGAGGTTGTGGGGGTGGAAATCCTTTTTAGGTGGAGACCTCCTGAGGTCATGTTCATCTTCCTCCCAAACGGGACCATGCCCAAAATCCTGTTTCTGTTTCAGAGGCCTCAATACTGGAAATTTATCCGTACTACATATAGACTATCTAGTATCTATATATACTCTATAATAAAGGAACTAATTATATGTATACTAATATACAGCAGTGACCAAGGCAGGCATGGCCCCTGACCACATGGAGGTTATATTTTAGTGATGGGAAAAAGAAACAATAAACATACATTGATAAATGAACAAGATATTTCCAGATTTTCTTAGATTGGATTACCTAGAAAGCAAACTCTGAGGAGATTTGAGAGCAGGACATTTATTAGGAAGGACTTTTGGATCATTATCAAGGAAGAAAGGAAGCAGGATTGGGTGGATAGAAAAGGTTGAGCTGTAGTGTTATCTGAAGTTAGGCCTCTACCAGTCTCAGAAGAACTCTGGTGCTGGGTTGGCCCTTCAAAGTTGTTCCAAGTTGGAGGGAAGAGCCAAATCTTTATACCCCTGCATTGATTGGATGTCCATTGCTCTGGAGAGAGGGTATAGCTTCATTTCTCTTCAGCCTAGTAAATCCTGGAAGTGGACTGACTGCTGAGGGCTGTCTCTGCACTCCCAATATCTGGGAAATGTCTTTCATTTTTAAGGGGGATTAGGGTGGCATATCACAGCATTCATCACAAAGGTGGGGATTTGAAGGTAATAGATGTGCTAGAGAATAATGGGGATGAAAGAGGGAAAGACTTTTAATTGGGTGCTCAGAGAAAGGCTGTCTGGGTAGGTAACAGCTGAAGCACAAGAATGAGCCATCATGTGTAGGACAAAAGGAGCAAGATTCTACAGTTTCTGCTGTGCACTGAGAATTTAGCAGAGAAACAAAACAAATGGCTGCTACTTTCTGTTATTGTGTGTGGCAGTGACCAGTTTTTATAGATATTGACTCCCTGCTGTAACTAAAGATGGAGTAAGTAAAAATGGATGGAGACTAATTCAGAGGAAGATGGAGAAGATGAAAAATAAGTCAACTTGGTAAAGACTTTTAATCTATACAGTATTTTTTCTCTCCTATATAGCATTTAATCGTGTCTTATCAGGATTGTGCCTTTCTCAAGCCTGTATTCTCTTTGAGGACAGCAGTCATGCCTTACTCATCTTGATAGTCTCACTGCCCCAGTCTCATGTCTTGCTAACACCTAACACACTAAATAAACATTTGAGTAAAATTAGTCTCACACATATTTGAAGTGAAAATAATCCCTAAATGATGTAAACACTGTAGATATGACTATTTAGATTTGCCTTTACAATATTCTCCCGTTTTATAAGTTATAACAAATATTACTTGAAATATTAAATGATAATACACAGTTGTTTTGGTCAAACAGGGATCTCCAGAGGTGCATATTTTTATACATGACTTGTATTAAAAATAATGTACTTCCAATAATAATAGCTACCATATATTGAATACTTCCCACATGTTAGGCACTGTAGTAAGCAATAAATACATAAATATATTTGTAATAATCTCCACCATGTAGCCCTATATAACATAATTTGAAATTGAGGCGGGAAAGAAGTAATTTGCCTAAGATCACAACTAACTTGTGGTGGAGGTTAGAATTTGATTCCTATCATTGCTCAAAGCCTCATCACACTAGAACTCATGTAGGCAACTTTAATAACTTTTATCGGAGAGACAAGTATGAAATTCTTCACCGTCTTTGAGTTTTCCTTTTTCCTTCACCATTAACATTACTGGCTTTCACTTTAGGAGCTCCACTCTTATCTTTCCTGTAACATCCTAGAATCTGGTTACAGGTCTACCCCATTCTAATCAAAATAGCTCCAAAGACCTCAGAACCTTTCTCTTGAGAATCTGGGTATTTTTATTGACACTGCCCAGAAGGTGGGCCTCCTTTATGGGGACCACTTCCCTTAACCATTCTAGTCCTCTCCTGTTCTTGCTACTCCAGGTTGACTCCAGTCATGTTTTTTCCTTTTAAAATGGTCAAAATAATAATAGTTAACAATTACTAAGTCCAGACTCAGTACCAGGCATTGTGCTAATTTCACAAAAGCCTCGTGATATGAAAGTCTTTAGTCTCATTTTATGGATGTTAGAACTGAGGCATCATGAGGTTAAGTGACTCAACAAGGTCACAAGTCCAGTTGTAAGATAGAGTGTGAAAGCCCAGGCATTAGGACTCCACAACTCATCTCCTTACCATTACAGGACAGTGCATTCTTACTAAAATGATTGGCTGTGCTTTATCTTCTGAAGCTGGTAGCCAGGAACTAGGTTCCGGTGGGCTTTTTATGCTGTACTAAGAAATTTGAACTTCACTTTCTAGTCAAAAATGTCACTGAAGGTCTCTTAGCAAAATGGGTACACGACCAGATTTCTTGTTTTTAATTTGTTTCTGCAAGATGGCTGTGTTAACCATATGGAGAAAAGATTAGTCATGAGTAGACTAGGATAACAGTTCTCTTCAGAATTACCCAGAGAATTTTTTAGAACACAGAGTACTGGACTCCACCCTAGAGTTTCTGATTCAGTAGGTCAAGGACAGCCCAAGAGTTTACATTTCTAATTAAGTTCCCAGGTGGTGCTACTGCTGCCAGTGCGGGGACTACACTTTGAGAACCAGTGGGCTAGAGGCAAGGAGGTTATGTGAAATAATGAGGGTCTGGAACAGTCTGGCTATCTGTATGATCCCCCCACCATCCTCCCCACCAACTCCAACATCCAGTGGCAGCCATGTATAAAAACAGTGAAAGGGGACAGAAAGATTCTCATTCAACTCCATAAACATAAACTCAAAACTCTCTAAACAACACTTGAACCTTTCTGATAAGCCACATCCTGCCAATAAGCTAATTTTCTCTTCCTCATCCGTTACTAATTAGTTATTGTTTACATTTGGACTGCTAATTATTAGTAAAGCTCATATAAAACTGTGATACTTTCAGTATATTATTTATAAATACATTGATTTCATAGTTACCAATGTATTTGAGGAAGGGGATGGCAGAGATCATAAAATACTTCCACATAACTGCCCAGAAAGTTTAAAGTTGACCCTTGTACTCTGTGACTACTCCTGACCCACTTCTGACTAGGATGTGCTGTCAGTAGCCCAGGCACTGGGTATAGGTCATGCTGACCTTGAATGGTGGGGTTGGGAAGGAAGTAGGATTTTGCTCAATGGAAACTTTAGAACTCAGGTGTGATCCATTTAGTTCATCAAGAGTTGACAGTAATGTTTTTGCTTTGTTTTTACGAGACTGGAAAAGGTCAGCAAAACTGTTATTTTAAGTGATGTAGTTAGAAAAATATATATATATTCTTTTTGGCATGCTGGCCAATTGAACAGGCATGAAGACATTATGCAGTCTTTTCTAATTTCTATACACGCACAAATGCCAAAATTTGAAGTGCTCTATTAAAATTGAGGATAAAAAGAACTATTTTTCACAACAATGATTGAAATTCAGAAATGAAGAACTCACAAATACCTAAAGTCAAAATTGTCATTGTAAGAGAACAGGCATTATACAGTTCTAATAAACTTTCTCAAATATCACAATGACAAGAGCTGGGTTAATTGTTTAATGTATGTCTGTCTAATGGTCTCTTCATGATTAAATTACATTAGGCGGAAGTTTTTAAAAGTCACTATTTTTTCAAATACATATGTTTAAGCAGAGCAACAGTAAAAACATAAAAACAAATCCACCCTACACTGTGCCCAAAAGACCAGCAGATGGCGCTCAGCAAGCCCAGTAGGCAAAGCGAGAATTTTTTACAGACTATTTCCTGCATCCAGGTTGCTGTATGCCTAATTAGTAACAGTGGATAGCAACTTGGTGGTTTTACTTGACATGATGCTACATAGAAAGAGTAATATGATAGCTAGAGCCAAGCTGTTTAGGATTTTCCGGGAAGCTTAATTGCCATTTTGCTGTTCACCTTACTGTCCAGTCCTATTACCAAGAAAACTTCATTTAGCTTAGAATGTAAAAAGTTTCAGTAAGCCTGTCAGAGGCCTTAGTGGTAGAAATTGAAGAGATGATAATCTCTGTAATACAAATTGGGAGGAGGGAAAGTTACTATTTTAGATATTAATGTGTGGTCTGAGGCATATAGCTCAGTGTTTTCCTTTCTTGGCCTTTATATGTACTCAAAAGATTATAATATTTTAATGAGGTATAGATATAGCAACCTTCTCTCTATTCCATTCATTAATCTCTTGCTATTCATTCTGTACTAAAAACTAAGCTAATGAAAATAACTAAAATTAGCCCACCTAATCTCAACTACTAGTAGGTCCTGGATGTATGTTTGGAAGATAAGAGGCTCTCTTGCTCTCTCATTTTGGACAAAGTGGCGCAAAACCACAGTTAACCTTTTATATACCTGACATAAGAATCAGGAGAACATGCCAGGCTTAATGCACTGGATAGTTGACCTCAGTGACCTTCATAAGTATGCACCATGCACTCGGAATATTCTTGTCCATCATCATGCACTGGAAATTCTGATTTACCCTATTGCCAAAACTGAGACCCAATTCTTGGCTTTTGAAAATTGCTTAATAGAATACCAGCCAAGACTTTTTAGGACTCCAAAATCTAAGTTGAGTGCCACAATTAACTGACAATAATCTTGGAATCAATCATTTAGCATTTCCTCATTTCTAAAACAGTCTCATAAAATTTCTGTGAAAACAAACAGGGTAAAAAAATATGAAACCTTGTGAATAATGCAAGGTATATATTTTCGAAAGAAGGGTATAAGAAAACAGAATCTATGTTAAGATTGCCTATCAACATTCTCCAAACTTAAAAGGCATTTCAATGAATAAAACCATAAATACCTACTTTCTGTTTTATGTACCTAAAATTTACTAATCTCATTTCATTTGTCTCAGTTGCCCCCACGTTTCTAAGAGAGTCCTGTATGTTCTGTTTTTGTTTGTTTAGGAGTATATTTAAAGATTCAAGAAAGTAAGAAAAGGGCAGTGGCAGGTACACTAAAGGAGGATAAGAAGAGGAAAAATATTTTGCTATCATTTCTGTTGCTCCTTTACTCCGAGAAAACTTGAAAAGCGAAATGGACAAAAAGCACTAACTTATTTTAGGAGCCAGCTTGTAATTGCTCATCCGATCTGATCATTTTAAGCACATTCTTGAGAAATTTTTGTTTCAAACTCAAAAATCTCTAGTGTCCAAAAAATAGTTTTAAACCACTCGGAATGACTTTCCAAGTGTTTTGAGAAAAGGACTCTCTCGAGGTAACTTTTATTCCACTTAATTATCCATTCCCAAATCAGATCTCCCAGTCTTCCTGCTGCTCAGCACCACGAACCTTTCTAAAAGTCCAAGTTTGAAAAACCTTCTTGTAAGTTCATTTGAAAAATGAGTTGTTAGGAAATTTGTTAAGTCTTTATATTATCCTGAGAAGCAGCCTCTTGTGGTTGTGAGCATGGGCTCTGGAATATTTACAAGAGTGCTTATTGCCGTAGCATATTTAGCAATTAAGTATTGAAAAAAAAATCTTAAATTTCTCTTGGTGATCTGTCAAATTAGGATATCTCTATACAGTCAAAAGCTATACAGCTATTAAAAATGATAAGATTTATATTCTTGGGGGGAGAAAAAATGACAAAACAGCATGTATATTATCACATTTTTTGTTAAAACCAAAAAGATTATAGATGTTTTTTAGTTCTCTTTTCTTTATTTCTATATTTTCTAACTTTAAAAAGTAAGCCTATATTATACTTATTTGAAAAGGGCAATGATGCTAATTTTCATTTTGAAAAAAGTCCCACAGAATTGAGAAAAGGGTTTAATCAAAATCGTATCCCCAAAATATATTTGATTTTATTTAAAAGCTTCAGAAAATATGAACAAAATAAGAGTACATTACCACACTGCTATATCAGATGTTAAATTTCAAACCTTTGTTGTCTTTTTCTTAAAATTAGCAATGAGCCTTATTTAGTAAAAGTCTAATGTGTCTGGCCCTGGGAAGTTGGTTATTCAAGCAATAGAATACTTGTAAATGCTGGAAAACTATTGAGTGAAAGAAACAATAAATTAAGGTTACGATGCCATTTTAAGAATGTTCCGTCTTGCTTGGTGGAGATGACTGTTATGATGTGATAACACAGTGTTTTTATGCGGATTAAATGCGAGGACTCCAAAAGTACTTTGTAAAGTAAAAAGCCCTATCATCTTGATCCTAACAATTTTCCAAGCTTCTCAAAGAACAACAGAATAAGCATCAGAAAATAGTTAGCTGCTCTCTTACCCCCATTAACCAAATCAATATGTGAGATAAGGAGAATTTGAGGACATGAGGGCACATACATGTTGAGTAAATATTAAAATAATCATTAAATCAACCCAACATCACTTATTAAACAGGAAGTGCTATTACTGTGCCTCAGTGATTATTTGAAAACTCAAATAATGAGTTTTCAGCCAAAATAGATACTGATTCCCAGCCTTAACTAAACTTAAACCTAGAAAAAAAAATGTGTAGATCGTTAAGTTATCCCAATGAAGAAGAATAGACTGTTAAACACAATATAAATAAAATGGAATATTTCCTTTGTCCTTAACCCACGGATGACCCAAAGATTCATGGAGTGTAGGGGACTAACGTGAGTTAGCTAATCTAAGACTCTTCTCTAGGAATTTCATAGCACATCACATTACTGTGATTTACATGGAGAGAATAGTACAACACTTTCCCAGACATTGTTATAGATTGTAGTTTAATTTGTTCTGAATTTTAGTTATTATGTTATCCCAACTATATTATATCCTTTTATCCAAATGATTCTCTTTTTTATAAAGTCTTTCCTCAGAATTTATAATTCAGGAAAAAGCTGATAAACCTTGAGTTAGTGATCATGGAGAAGTAAACGGTGAATAACAGAAATGACATCTGTTAAAAGAACTGTGACTTGATAACCTCATGTTGTGAATGACAGATGTTAAAGTCTCCTTAATTATTGAGGAGACTAATACAAATGACAATATCTTTTAAACATTTAATTCAAGGTATTTTGTGGACAAAAAATGCCACATATCAGTCAACATAAGCCAGATGACTTTGGTGCAGCCCCTGTCCCTTCTTCCCTGTAGCAAGTAATTTTTACAATAGTTCTCTCCTCATTACTCCAAATTACCCAGTGCCTCCCCCAGTTGTTTTTTGTCCTCAAATCTCAAATGCTCTAAAGGCTTTTGCATAGTGAGCGCCAATGAAATTTACCACAATACAGTTATTTGTGATTGTCTTTCTCCAAAGAGAGAACATAAGCATGTCAATAAAAGGTATGGTCTCTAAAGGTTGCAAAAAGTGTAAAGGAGACTTAAAGCACTTTAGGAAAGAAAAAGACCACAAAATGCTTTGTTACAAAGCAGGCTGTGTTTTTCCATCTAGTAGTTTAGGTTTAGCAACAAAGTCCTTATAAGATGTGAATTTGGACTTTGGGGAGAAGTGGTTTCTAATGCTGAGAATAATATATGTACATAAGTATAACTCCTAACCTTTCTGTTTATTTTTAATACATATGCACAGAACACAGAGATAGTTTAGGTATTTAGCTCATTTGTACTATATTTTAATCTTGACTTGAAAGAAGGAATAAGTAAAAATTGTGTTCAGACATTTTTCTAGTGGCATTCATTCAAAATTACCGTGAGAGATCTTATGATCCTGAGACTCACACATGCAGTTGAACCTAATTCTTAATATATCCTGTAGATGATGGAGCAGTCCTTATTGTTCTTCTGTGCTCAGAAAGGAACTTGGAAAGTGGGTCCAATTGTATCATCACAAGTCTATAAGCTACTTAATAAAGTCTAATGAGTGTCCTTTAAATAAAAAAGTATAAAGAATTGTTTTTCAGTTTATAAAAAATAGAAAGTGGAGATTGGAAAATTAAATATTTCCTGTCACTGTACCAAAAAGAAAGAAAAAAGTATAAGGAGTATTTTGAGGTTGTCCAGACTCAAGTTCCCAAACCCAACAGATCATCAGAAATAGACTTCCTGGGCCCCAAGCGCCTTGGTTTCCAAATCAAAGACGGGGAAAAGTCTGCTTTCAATACTAACTAGCTTTGTAACTCCAAGCAAGTTACTTGCCCCAATTTATTCATGTAAATGGAGCTGACAATAGTCCCTGTAGGCTAGAATGATTAGTAATAAGGGCAAACACTAAAATGCAGTGGTTCAGCACATAAATGTGCAAATGGCATTAATTCATCTGAATTCATAGAGCCTAAGCCATAATTTCTTTTGCTACATTTGGAATCCATACATGACTGTCCCGGTCTCAGCTGAAGCACCATCACTTACATCATGTCAGAGTGCAGAATCTGAATTCTTAATGCATATTTATGGATTGCCATTCGATTCTTTTGTTAAAATTATGACAGTGCGATTTTTAAAAAAAATCTAACTTCATTGTGGTTCAGAGAAAATAAAATTATATAAAGAAAATTATGCATGAGTGTTTCCAAAGGTTCATAAAGCTTTCCCAGCAAGTAATTTAGCTCCTTTACAATCGTCGACTATAAATTGAGTGTTGCTTTACAAGTTTCCCAAGCCCAACCTCCCGTATCTCTTTAGGTCTACAGCATACCTCTTTTTTGTTAATTAACATTGCGATATAACTAAAAACGTTTAATAGCTTTTATTAGAGTGCAGTATTCTACTTGTGGTGATTTATTGATGTAATTTTAGGAACTTTTTTTGGCGGCAGGGGCGGGCATTGTTTTTTCTCTGTTAACTATTGACCTCTTCCTAGGTGCTCTGATGCCGAAGTACTATGAGCTTTCAAAACTTCTGGAGAGACTACAAAGTCCTGGTTGTTATGGTACCTTTAGTTGGACTCATACATTTGGGGTGGCACAGAATCAAAAGCAGCCCCGTTTTCCAAATACCTAATAAGGACAACGTTCCCAAGCCAGATAGTCTGGTGCTTGCAAGTCCTCAGAAGGACCACGTCCAAGGGAAATAGCAGCTTTACATTCTTCAGGTAAGTTTGGTTTAATCCGGTCGGCCATATGATATGTTCCAACAATGGGAAACATAATCTTTAAAAAAGTATAGAGCTCTGACACACACACACAAAGCCTAAGTTAATAAGTTACCTGTTAATTTTATTATCCACTGGCAAAATATTATTCTGCAGTTGCTTCTAGAAAAGTTTCTTCTACAGAGACCTTGACACTTGCCTGGCAGACTCATTTGGGTGAAAAGAGAAAGGGCAATCAGTCCATTTCTTGTCCTGTCAACAAGAAACTCACCAGGATCATCAGTGTGTCCAAAGGAGCAGTTGTCTCCTTGCCATAAATCCATTCCAGAGCATGTAAATCTGTGACTTGCAAAAGATTCTTTTCTTTATTATTATTCTGTTTTTCCCAAGACAAAACTAATCGTATTCATTCCTTAGTTTCTAATGTTTTAGCTTTAAAATAATTTGTTACTTTTGAGAGTCACTAACACTTTCAATGATTTCTTTCTTTCTCATTTTATAGATAGTAGCCATAAGATGTGGTTACTGGTCTCAATACCTCAAGACTGTTACAGGAGCTAACTTCATTCTCCTGAAATTCTGCAGTGCATGTCACCATTATATATTGAAAAAACTTCTTACTAGAGAAATCATTTTATTAATAACAGATTCTGTTGTGATTCATGGTTTGTATGTGTGTTGTAATGTGCAAATTAACGTGTGGAGGTCATTTCAAAAGGTAGCATTTAAACATATTTCACAAATTTTGCTAAATCTAAAATAACTATTGATATAATATTTAAGTATCTTGGCTATTCCTGGCATAAGATGAACAGAGATTTTTTTCCTCTTCATGCCATAAAAAATGACTATTGCTTTATCATGGCAGGGAGATAGCTGGCCATCATTGCCTTTATTTGGGCCCAGGTGCCATGGTTACAGCCTTTTAAGTAAATTGAGAGGAGTGGCAAACAAATTCACACTCCACATAGCATTCTCTCATTCTATTCACCTCTTCTTTGCACATTTTCAAATCACCTTTTTGGCCTGTGTCATCCAGTGTCATAATCTACTTTAAATAGTACTGTTGTCTTGGTAGTTCAGTTTGTTTTATTTATGTTATATACTTTCCAAGTGACTGGCATGGCTAGCATATTCCTGAAAATTACTAATTGGCTGAACCTTCACCTTCAAAGCACCAAACCTCAACAAATAGGTCCATGTCCTGAGATTTTTATTATTAAAGTGTCTGGATTTTATGCCTTGAGGCACACTATTTACAGCTTTATTAAGGAAACTAGTTCAAGTGCATTTGGCATATAATAACATTTTATAGTGTTTAGACTCTTTGAGATCAAATGGTAAATCAGATTCTATTTTTCTCTTTGTCACCCAGCACATTTTCTAGTTTTTGTATTGTCATTAACCAAAGTTTGGGGGAGGATTAGTTGTAGAACATCAAAACTGAAAATCATTGATTGATAGGGTAAAACTACAGAAAATTAGCTCTGACATTAGCCAGATACTTAAAACATGGTTTGTTCTTTGATACAATGTGTTGTACAGACTTCTGCAGCTAGTCACAGACTGTATGAAACAGAGTCTCTGTGGTAGGAATTCTAAGGTTTCCAAGCAAATCAAAGTTATTAAAAAAAATAATAGTAGATCTGCTGTACTAGATTAAAAACATTTGGGACTTTTTTTAAGACTCAGAAACCAAATTCTATGTGTTTGATAATGTAGCATTTCTCTGCTAGAAGCAATCATCTTCAAATTACTGTAAGCTTTCTAGCAGTGTTGTTGTGCCTTCTAAAATCGTTGCAGTATCAGCAGTTTTTCTCAGAGGGGTTCATTGAAGAATAAAGGCATGAATGTTTAAGTTGATATACATTTCTCATTTTCTGGAGGCTTGTGCTGGTTGGTATTTTCTTTTTCTAAAGAAAGAACAGAGCGTTAAAATAAATTATTAAACTGCAGTCTATAAAATGTTTTGGAATTACTTCTCTAAAATGTTACATTTTTATTTCTTATAGAAAGAAGCAGTTTTGAATCTGAGCTTGATATTGAAAGAAGAAATGAAAAACACAAATTGGATTAGAAAGAACTGGCTTCTTGTAACTGGGGTTTCTTTCATAGGTGTCCACCTTGTAACATACTTTGTGCAGAGGGCTGCAAAATGGTCTGTAAAATCTCAGTCTGGAGGCAAACAAAAAAGTATTGAAGAATGAAGTAAAATAAATATTTGGAATTACTAATATGTCATTAAATCATTACATACTGATTAGTTTCGTAAGCATGGAACTATTTAATTTTATAGCCATAATACTGCATATTCAGGCTTTCATTCCTGAAGAATACTTTTTTGAAGTATTAAAACCCATGACTGCACAATAAATAGAAAACTATGGTTAACAAAATAAAAGCTGTCTTCACAAATTACCACCTGAAATAAGATGTCTCGTTTAGAAGCTAAAAAGCCATCGTTGTGTAAAAGTGAGCCACTGACAAGTGAGAGAGTCAGGGCCACACTTTCTGTCTTGAAAGGAATCGTAACATCGTGCTATGGCCCTTCAGGTAGGCTGAAACAGCTGCACAATGGCCTTGGAGGCTCTGTGTGTACAACCTCACAATCGTCAGCCCTGCTTGCTAACCTTTCTGTCACCCACCCCATTTTAAAGATCCTGACAACTTCCGTGCAGAATCACGTGTCGTGCTTCAGTGATTGTGGCTTAGTCACAGCCATTCTTTGCTGCAACCTGATTGAAAATGTTCAGAGAACAGGCTTGACACCCAGCACTGTCATTAAATTAAATAAGCATCTTTTGAGCCTCTGCACCACTTACCTCAGGTCCGAGGACTGTGGTTGTCGAATCCCAGTCGACTTTGATAATACTCAGATCCTCCTCTGTCTGGTACGCAGTGTATTAACAAGTAAACCCGCCTGTATGCTCACCAGAAAGGAAACAGACCATGTCAGTACTCTGATTCTGAAAGCCTTTTTGCTCACAATTCCAGAAAACACCGAAGACCACATCATTTTAGGAAAGAGTATAATCGTACCTTTAAAGGATCAAAGAGTTATAGATTCTACTGTATTACCTGGAATACTTATTCAAATGTCAGAAGTTCGGTTGATGAAGATACTACCTATCAAAAAATCAGATTCCCTCAAGGTGGCGCTCTTTCATGCATCTTTATCTGGAGACCTTTCTGATGCTGGAGAAGGAACTGTGGTGGTCAATTATGGGGTTTCCCTTGAAAATGCAGTCCTGGACCAGTTGCTTAACCTAGGAAGGCAGCTAGTTAGTGATCACGTAGATCTTGTCATGTGCCAAAAAGTTATACATCCGTCTTTGAAACAGTTTCTCAGTATGCATCGTGTTATTGCCATAGACAGAATTGGAGTGGCTCTGATGGAACCCCTGAGTAAAGTGACAGGTAAAAACACTCAGCTTTTGCCCCTAATAGTTAATAAATCACACTGGATTTTTTTTTGAGCAGATATTCTTGGTGTGTGTCACTGTTAACATCTTGAAAAATTTTAGAAGCTGCCAACCTCAGCATATTTGAGTATCGTTTCTGGCAGTGAAGGTTGTTTCTAAAAAGGAAGCTATATTGTTGACTTATTAAAAATTGAGTGATTATGGCCATTTCTTAATTTTTCAGCTCCCAAATGTACTACAGTCTACCGTAGTCTAAAACTTAACCCTCAACTATCATACAAATTATTGAGAAGACTAACATAATCATAAGGTCTTTCATACTTTATACAAAAGTCCAGTTTTACTAAGCTCTTAAATCACATTATAATTCAGAAGGTAATTTTTCAGCTAAAATATCTTCACTTTTATATAACTCCAGCAAATAGCTGTACATCTGCCTAAGTAGTGGTTCCTAATTAAGGCCGTGTGTGTGTGTGCGTGCGTACGTGCTTGCGGTAGCTTTAAATATCCCAAGTATTTCCAGCTGAGCTCCCTGAGAACCAAAATCATCTTTTATTTCTGGTCCTTACAGCAGGCTTGGTACATAGTAGGTGTTCTAAAGTATATGTTGAATTGACTATAATATAGTAACACGCAGAATTATAATAGCAAAAAATTCACTGCATTTCACAAACTCAGCAAATTAGGAGCAAATGCTCCTAATTTACGAATTAGAGCCAAGGAAAATGACAAGCTAAAGAGTCCCTGATTTGAGCCACTTTTCAATATCCTTTTAACCACTGACAATGTCAGAAAGACAATCATCTCATTCTAATAGATTGTAATTTTTAAGTTATTAGATATAAACCATCGTTAAAGTTCACAAATTTTATAAATCATCAAAAAGAAGTGCTATGTGTGTCAAGTATTGAATGTACAATATCTGGTTTCCTGCCCTACCTTTGTAAGACTCTCAAATGATTGTCAAAAAGGAAATTATTAAATATTGGAAATAGTCCTTTGGGACTCATTGTCGATAAGGGTCAGACTCATATCTTTAAATATTGACTGGCATTTCATGAATCGGGTAATTTCCAGTTGTGAATATTGGGTATTACAGATTAGTCAGTATGAAGCATTTTCCCATAGAAACATTATAAGTGGGTTTCCACACCAGTCCACAATTATTATTTATCCTATATGCAATTAGAACATAGTATTAATAGCCAAGAATCCTTATAATGAGGTGTTCTGTTTGCTTCTTGGAGACACACACACACACACCCACCCCCACCCCCAGCCCCGGCCCATGGCTTGGGTAAACTAAGAATAGGTGAAGTATGTTTTGTGCCTAATTCATCTTGTGGGGTATATCCAGGTTAACATAACCTTTCTCCCCTTCAAACAATATTCCTCTTTATTGATGATCTCAGTTAAATAGTGGAGATATTGTGTATGGGTGATGTGTGTGTGAAGCTTGTCAGGCCTTACAGAGCATTTTTAAGATTTAGTTTATTTGTGAAGTAGACATTATGATTCCCATTTAACTCTCATGGGGGAAGCCCACCCAGAAAAGTTAAATGACATGAGTGACTTGCTCTACATGCTGTGGCTGATAAGCAATAAAACCAGATCCCCTCACTACAGATTCTCTGTTGGATCCACCATGTGAAATTATACAAAATGTAGGCTTTTTTCTCCTTAAATTTTAGATCGCTCAAGTATTCCTGTTCTTTGAGGCTTACAAAGTAAAGGAGAAAGGCTATTCAAAGAAGTAAAATCTCAGTGATTATTTTTCTGGGTTTTATAAATTTTTTGAGCTGGAAGTATTTATAGACATTATTGTTTTAACCCCATTGGTCTGAAAGAGGAAACTGACCCAAAGACATGCACCACTCAGATATAGTTTTAATGTTAAGACTTTCAACTAGCATTGTTATTTCTTATAGAATTTTGGTATAGTTTCTTTTCTACATAACCTCCAGTACATTTTAGAGATTTTGGAAACCTAGTTATCCTAACTTCTCCTTTCTTCTATTTTTATTAATTTGTGTTTTGTAAAATTTTACTATTTTACCTATGCAAGAAAGAGGGCAAAATACTTAAAGAATAACAAAATAAAGAATGTTACATATTTTATTTTCGCATAATTTAGCTCGGTAGCTATTTATATACAAACAGTTGTTAGGCAAAAGGGAAAAAAAATTCAATACATTCACTGAATAAAACCCCAAAACAACTATTTGGATAGCTTAATTTGTATATTGTATAGAGTAGATAATAAGGCCTCTCACTTCACCCTTACTCCAGATTAATGGGGTTCTTAATTTTGGGTTTCTAATCCCTGTATGGGCTTCCAGAATTCCTGAACTCCCAGAAAATGTAGGTGAAATTTTGTGCGTGTTTTTTTCTAGAGAGTACAAAATAGCTTCTAACAGATGTTCATAGAAGTCGGTACACTAAAAGAACCTTTTCTTTATTTGTATATCCTTTTAATAGCCGAATACTATTATTTTACAGATTTAAGAAATACATCTTGTTATTTCTTTATTCCATATTTCATATTTTAAATGATATGCTTGTGAGACTTTTAGATTGGCTAAAAAGAAATATTATAATTTTAAATAATTGTATGCTCCATCTTCACTTTTACATTTTGTGTTTTCTAAACTTTAAAAAATAGGAACACAGCCTATCGGTTCCCTTGGCTCAATCTCTCCGAGTAGTTATGGAAGCGTGAAAGATTTGCGCACTGCAAAATTTGGCTTCAAAAGTTTTTTTCATCTTATTCCTAATGAAGTAACTATCTGCAGCTTGCTTCTCGGCAACAGAAATGACACTGCCTGGGATGAGTTGAAGGTAGGTAATGAACTTTGATTTTCATATCCAGAGGCTGAGGCATGGCTTAGTCATTCAGGAAGGTATTATAATTTTTTTCACATTGGTGAGCTGTGCTTTTTATTTTCATAACTTCTCTACATGGTATAGAAAGCAAAAACAACAAAAATGGAAGAATTAAAGTCATGAATAGACACTACAGTCGACCTGGCATGTGTTACCATTTATTATTTCTAGTATTTATAATCAAAAGTTCCTTAACATATAAACTTAAGAAACTAACTTGAATTATGTACTCTTTGATGCTAATATGAGTTCCCCAGTCATACTCATCATCCACCTCTTAGTAGAGTTTATTGTCCTCTACCAGCAATAACACTTGCACTTTTTACATAAGGGAAGTGATAACTTATTGGTCACAAGCTTGAAGATTCGTGTAAGCTCAAAGATATACCATTGGTAAATATTCAAGGTCTGTATGTTTTTATTACTGATGGGTTGTAGCTGTATTATCATTTCCATAGCAACTTGAAATAAATTTTATGTCATTTATTCAGCTAATTTATTTAGACTGAAATAATTTTTTAGTAAAACTACTAGCAAATCTTGCTGACCCAGTTATTTTGAGGCCATCTATTTGTGAATCTTAATTTGCAGAGCTAAGTGTATATGAAAGAAGATATTACTTTGGTCATAAAAACAAAAATCTTACTGAAGTATTCTTTAATCTCTAATCTTTTTTATTCTAAAATGTGCTCACCACATTATAGTCTTGGAAACACAGGTTTTGTTCTTTTGAAATTAAAATCAGGCCCTTTGAGTTTACTAAGTTGCCTTGAGAACATGGCTATATTTCTTTGTGTATGCGATGTTACTATCTAATTCTGATGATTTCTTTCTTTTGTAGCTCACATGTCAAACAGCACTACATGTTTTGCAGTTAACAATCAAGGAACCATGTGTCTTGTTGGGAGGTGGCTGCACTGAAACTCACTTGGCAGCATATATTAGACACAAGGTAGGTTTGATAGTACTTTCTCAGATTATCTGAATTCTCAACAGTATTCATTTTTTGAGATGGTAAGCCAGTAATACCCTGGAGCCTTTAATGGTTAATTTCTTACTAGTCTATACTGTATTAGAAACACTTGAGGAAAATAACACTTGGAAATATAAAGTAATATCTTTATCACAATAATTATTGTTAATCCAACCTTTTACCAAATGATCACATTCTTTGTGTATTGCCTAAATTTTGCATGTTGAAATGAGCATTCTGTTAATAGGAGTTATATTAGCGATCTCAGCTACTATGGGACAATAATTGATATTCACAAGGAAGGTGTTGAGAGTCTACAAAATACTTTTAATACCCTCTGGATCATCAAGAAAATGCTTAATTTCATTTATTAGAGCATTTCAAATGTTAGAATCTATTATAATTTTTAAATTGGTATTCATTTATGATATTACTTCTATCAAGAAAGATATTTTTTGTTAATCTAAGAAACCATTTCCTGACAATAGACAAATTTAGTGCATTATAGTTCTGACCTTTTCATAAATACGGACCTGTTTTATTTGAAATTGGATACAAAAAGGTATGTGTTTTTCAGATATTTGCAGTGGATTCTTTTGTTAGTCAAGAGTGTTATAGATTGCAGAGTTTCTAGTGGATGACCAGGAGTGAAGAGAGTGTAAACGTTTTTTATACACATGCCCCACCCTGCTTCCTCAAATAATTTAAAATCTATTTGATGATAAAACTCATTCATGAAAAATTATCACAGTATTTATTATGAGAAACAAAATCAGTGCCAATCGATGGATGCTGAATGGACGATTATATCGTCTGTAAATGGAATTGAGTAAACTAGAAAAAGCTTTTTGGAGAAGGAGGGTATCTTGAGTTGGATTTTGAAGAAAAAGTACAGTATTGAAAATATGGGAAAAGAATCTCCATTACAGATGATCTCATCTGGTTCAGACTTCCTGGGGAAAAAAAAAGAAATAGTCACTGTTTTGAAGTAGTTAGGGTATGGGTTTTTAACTATCATTCAGTTACTAGTTTGCTAATGTATTAATATTTTTATCATGAAATGTTTAGAATAAACTTTTTAGAATGGTGGAACCAAAAGACTGTTTAAAGTCATATTATCTTTTCATTAATTTGAAGAGAATTTATTTAAAAAGCATTGCTGTGAAAATTGCGTATGTTTCTAAATGTTTTTTATCTTAATGTGTGTTCTCATTTTAAACAAGTCTCAAACATTTTACTGAGTATAAATAAATACTTCATTTGGACATTGGCCATCAGAAATTTCCTTCCTCCTGTGTGTATAAAAACCAGTAATATATGCATTATGCCCCGTTCTTCATATATTAAGGCGGCACTACTGGGCAGTCATACAGTATAAGTTGATAATGGTGTTTATTCTGATTCATTCATTCTGATAACATAACTGGTAGCGTACATTTTTACTATAACCAACCAGGTTAAGGTATGATGATAGCCTGGCCAGCTGACTCCTATATGCCCGTTAGCATTGTGCCAAACCCCTAAGTAAATGGAAAGGAAGTAGTAACTTTATGAATAAGGATTTGATCAAGTATTCTATTTTTTCAGAAACACTTTTATAACATTAATTGCTCTGTATGTATTTTCAATGGTTTCATTACTCTTTAGACTTTTAATGAACGAGGAAGCATTGCCAAAGATGGTGGATATACCCAAACAGAACTTCAGCTAATTACTGAAGCATTTTGCACTGCACTAGAATCTCTCGCTGGCTCTTTAGAACATGATGGAGGTGAAATTCTCACTGACATGAAGTATGGGCACTTTTGGTCAGTTCAGCCAGATTCTCCCTCTGTTGTTAACTGGCCAGATTTGCTTTCAAGATGTGGCTGTGGACTACACAATAGCCAGGAAGAACTAAACTGGTCTTTCTTAAGGAGTACTCGGCATCCTTTTGCACCACAAACCTGCCTTCCACATGAAACTCTGGGCTCAGCCAACAATCTGACCTTGGACTGTTTCACTGCTAAACTTAGTGGCCTACAGGTGGCTGTGGAGACTGCCAATTTGATTTTAGATCTTTCGTATGTCATTGAAGATAAAAACTGATGTAAGAGAATGGCGTGTTTATGTTACCAAAAAAAAAAAAATTACAGCTAGTCAGGTTTCAATTAAGAAAAAAATTGAGTATATTTGTTCTCTCCCAAAGGCCTGTTCTGCATATTTGGATAGATGATTCACAAAATTATAGATTTGCTTAAATTATGTAAGGAAAAAAGTTATAATTCTTGAATAAAAATACCATAGAATAATAAAAATATGAAGCATTATTAATGATATCATAGTTATCTTAGAGATTCCACAGATCTGTATGTTGTTCTAAATTGTTATTATTTAACATTATTCTAAGAACATACAGAAATTTTTTTAAATATCCTATTCCATGCTTTAGTTTATAAATACTTATTATATTTTTAGTACTACTTACATATGTTTAAAGTATAAAATTAGATTCCAAAGTATCACAAACATCCCACACATATTGCTCAATCAAAAGAAGTGTAAACTGCACATTTGGTAAAGTTTCAGTGCTCTTTATCTGAAACTATCCAGTGTTTTGGTAATTGGTCTAGAACCTGGTCTACCTGCAATTGCTAGTTTGCTATTTCTTCATCTGTGTTATTTTAAGGAAATATGTGATTAGGAAAAAATAGGTTTATGTAATAACTAAGAAGCATAGAGAAAAGAAGTATAGAAGTGATTTCTCAAGTTCCATCAGAGTAGTGTGAAAACAAAACTAGAACAGCTCTCATAATCAAAGTAGAGACACTGATGTTTCATCAAGGAATGTAATTTGAATTTTATGTAAATGCAAAGCGTAGGGATAAATTGAAGAAGAAATGCAGAATGCAGTTAAAGGAATACGTGTGGAACTGTAATAGATGCTATATTAACCTTTAGGGAAACGTTTTGTAAATTTTTGGAAAATTAAGCAACCTGAGAGTCAGTGATCAGATCTGTAGCCATGATAGAGAGAGAGAATTTTTAAGCAGTTTCCTCCAATAGAGGAATTTTTACCCTGAGCCAAAGAAAAAATTGCAGTACAAACTCACAATAATACAATATATATTGAAAAATCAGCTACACCGCAAACTTCATAAAATATTTCTCTAAAATTTTATTTCTTTTCTTATTAGAGTCAAAGAGAAGGGCCGTGTGGTAGGCAGCCTCCAAGATGGCCCCCAGGGACTCCGCCTCCTGGTTTTTAGGCCCTTGCATAATCTTCTCTCCTTGGATATGGGCTGGACGTAGTGACTCCTTTGAATCTCCATTTCCCCACTTTGTGAATAGGAACATCTTATTGTGGTTATCTTTGGCGGATCCATCAGTGTATTACCGTTCCTCAGGGTCCATTGGGAGTAAAGACAATGATTCATCTCATTAACTTCATGGGTCTTCAGATGGGGAGGAACTGTGCTCTAGGAGGTATATTTAGAGAATTATACCTGAGGAGCTTCACCCACACTGAGCTGATTTCAGTGATGAGATTCTGGACTTGGAGCTAATGTTACAATGCAATGAGACTTTTGGGAATCTGGAGAGGGTATGAGTATATTTTGCATGTAATTTTGTATGTAGCCTATAAGATCTAACAATCCTACCTCCTGGTAGTCCACCCTTTGGGTACAGGTGGGACCTAATGACTAGCTTTTAGTGAGTAGAATATAGCAGAAGTGATGGGACATCACTCCAACGTTAGATTGTAAAAAGATGGGCTTCTCTCTTGATCTCGCACCTGTTCACTCTGATGGAGGCCAGCTGCCAGGTTGGGAACTGCCCTGTGGAGAGGCCCACATATAACAAGGGACTAAGGGACGCTTCTAGCCAACAGCCAATATGGACCTGAGTCTTATCACAGACTGAATTTAGAAGCAGATCCTCTCTCATAGAACTTCAAGATGAATGTAGCCCCTGCCACTGCAGCCACCCGAGAGGCCCTGAAGCAGAGGGTCTAGATAAGCCCCTCCTGATTTGATTCCTGACCCACAAAATCTGTGAAATTATAAATTTTAAGTTAAGTTTTGGGTGTAATTCATTAAGCAGCAATCGACACTTAATAAAGGTAGGAATAAAAGCTTATTTGTAATTACATACTGGAAACTTGGTCACACAGTGAAAAAAAGCATTCTTGATGTCAAGCTTTTGCGTTTTCACCATCACTCCAAACATAAAGTCAGTGTTCTTCATCACACATGTTTACAGAGAGGGTTTTACATTCACTTAAGAAAGCATGTCACATGAGAAGATGGAAATTGTCCTAGGTCACCTTGGCCCTCTATTGTATTTCCAAGTTGCTCCAAGAAGAGATGCTACACTGAACCTCTCAAATTGATGTTATATGTTAAGGGTCTCTACTTCTCATGTTATAGCCACTTTTAGCTCTGTCATTTTTTAGCTTCACCATAAAATTCAGTTACATCCTTTGGTGGAACATCAGTGCTGTCATTTTGAGTGTGTCGTAAATTTGTAGAAATTTTTAATAAATTTGTGTTTCCTAAAGTTGTGTACAATCCTTACCAGAAAATACTGTAAATAAGAAAAAAAGCACTTCCTTTATAGTTCAAGAAAATCATTGTTCAAACTCAGATGGTAAAATATGAGGTGAAAAACATTGATGAAAACAATTTCAGAGGAGCCCATTTTGACAGAAATAAATGGTAAGAAAATACAACTATATTAAGCCTCAGGCAATGTTTTGTGACTTAAAGTGAGATTAAGATCTGAATATTGCATTATGAGGTTCCTCCGGTGAGAACAGAAAATCCTGATAGCTACAAAATAAGTCAAAGGAAAATAATGCAGAAGAGAATAAAGTCAGTGACAGTTGCTCATTACTTTTGTGTGACTCACAGGACATGTTGCATTAAAGTTTGTTGAACCATAGGAGTCCAGCAGGATTAGAATCCTAATAATCGAAAGAGGTCAGGATTTTGGCAGCACAGAAAAAATTGGAGAACTAAGCAAAGTAAGAGAGCCTTTTAAGTCAAAATACTTATTTTGTTTTATAAATACCCCGATTCCTTAATTCTTCCATTTGTACTATATTGGAGAATCTCTGTTAGACTTTTTAAATCAACCATTAGAGTGAAGCATTTTCCACAGGATATTTGAATTACATATTATTAGTATCTTTTATTACCATAGGCATCCCTGAACTCATTTAGTTTATATAATCAAAGCTATTTAAGCATTCACATGATATAAGAGAAATTTTAAGTACCTCTATGAGATCTATCATATACTGTATTGTTGCATTGTTGAATTGTTCTTCAGATAACTTAAACCAGTATTGTTGCCGTCACATAAATTTTGCAGGTTATTATTTAAGATTATCAAGAACAAAAATCACTCTCATAACCAATGCAGGTCCTGTCAAAACATTCAATTAGTTAGGTTATTCCTTTCCGATAATCTTTGGGGAATAATCAAGGAGACTAAACATCTCTTACAGAGCCCTGTTTCAGCTGTCTAAATAAATCTATCTCTTAATCTAAAGGAAAAGGCAAGTTTGAAAATCTAATATCTTTATAATTTTTTTTTCATGTAGTTAAGTTTTTCTACTTAGTAACTATGGTATCCCATAATTCTTGGAAATTTTTGCCAAAATTTGAATTTAGAAGCATCTGACCCAAAGTTAGCCTGCATTTTTGGATTACAAATAGACTTATTTGCTTCTTTTTTATTAAGAATGTAGTAATACTCATACAGAAGAATGCAATCCCTGAAAACAATCCCTGTATGTAGATCAAGCCTCTTGTTGGAGAGATAATTAGTAGACTAGGTACACTAAAAGCAGTGGAATACTTAGTACCTGTAATAAACTGTGACTTAAGAGGGAAATAAAACAATTTGACAATCTCTTACTAAAAATTCACACTGAGGAAATAGTTATAATAAACATCTGATTTTAGCCCTATAGCTTTTGTTTGAAATATTGTGATTTCATTTTGTGTATTAATTCATCTGTTTGTTTGCCAAAGTAGTTAATGGTATTAGAGGTTAAAAAAGAAAAAAAGATTTGTTCATAGTTCCTGACCTCAAGGAACTAATCATCTAGCCAGTGAGACATATATTTTTAATATTACATTTCTTTTAAAAAAAATAATTTCATAAAATAATTATCAACATTATAGAAATGACATATAGAAAATTTGAAAAATATGAATCAGACACACAAGCACACAAAAGGAAAATAAGGTCAAATGTAGTCCTACCCAGAGATAATCACTGTTCACATTTTATATGCATCTTTTCTGTATATATGTTTACAAAAATATAATCATACTGTTTATTGCGTTATAATGTTTCTTTTACCTAACATGTCATGAACATCATAAACATGTACAATCAGTGCACAGTTTACTCCTACATCATTTTTAATGCCTGAAGGAATTTCAGTTTTAGAGATTATACTATAATTTAGTTGATGAACTTTTATTAGTATGCCCTTAAGCTATTTTTAATTTTTGTATTAATATGAATGAAAATGCAGTGAACATTTTATATATATCTTTTTCCCACATCCCTTATTATTTCCTCAGGATGAATAAATAGAATTAAAATTTCTAAATCCAAGTGTATTTAAAATGGAAAGGCTATTAATATATGTAATCTGATTGTCTTCCAGAAATGTTGCATCAATATACTCTGACCATAGTGTGTGAAAGTACTGATTTTCCTGAACTTTGGCCATGATTAGTCATTGTCTTTGCCAATTTAATAGCCGAAAATAGAATGTTTTTTATAACTTGCATTTTTTAAAATATTAATAAGGTAGATATTTTTTATACATTATTAGTCATGTATTAGTCAAATACCTCTTAACTGGCATTCCAAGTTTTTATCAGAAGTTCATCTTTCTAACATACATTTATATTTTTAATATTTTCTCATATGCGTTATTAAATATATGTACATATAGAGAGGTAATTTTTTCAAGCAAATGCATAGTTTTATTTTTTTATGGTCTCAATTTTCCACCTACCTTTCCATGCCCAAACTAAACATGGTACTTTTTTAATGGTACAGTTTTGTACATTTCTGTTGATTTGTACTCACAGGCAACAGTGAAACACACAAGTAGGATGATAAATTTAAAATAGTAAACAAACTATTGCCCCTGACATATTATTACTATCTAACTCTTTAATAAAGCATTTGGGAAATGGGATGGTGTTTAGGGCTGCCATAACAAATTATCGCAAACTCAGTGGCTTGAAACAACAAATTAATTTTCTCACAGTAGTGGAAGCTACAAGTCTAAAATCAAGGTGTTGGCAGTGCTACAATGCCTACAGACACTCTCGGTGACAATCAATTTCTGGTGGGTATTGATAGTCCTTGGCATTCCTTGTTTTATAGACACATTACTCTAATCCCTGCCTTTGTCTTCATATGGCCTCCTACCCTCTATCTCGCAAATCTTCCTCTTTTCTTTTATAAGGACACCATTGGATATAGGGCCCACTCTAAGTCTAGGATGACTCATCCCAAAATTCTTAACTTAATTACATCTACAAAGACCATATTTTCAGTTTGATCATATTTATAGGAATGGAGCATAGGACTTAGACATATCTTTTGGAGGGACACCATTTAACTCACTACAAATGGTAAAAAGCTGCCAAAATGTAGCCCTGCTTTCCCCTAAGGCTACAGCTGCACAGACAGTAAAGTATGCTCAGGTCGGACATAGGCACCAAAACCAAATTTTACCACCAAACATTTCAAACAATTTTTCCATTTATTGTTCTTCAATTACAAACACAGTGTAATCTCTTTTCTCCCTACTTTCTTTATACTGCCCTACTCCTGACCTTCTCCTCTATTCCTCTTCTCTACCTGCATCATCTTTACTCTTACTCTCCTGTCCAGGTATCACATATAAACTACCCATTGGTGGTTGTTCCATCCTTTCTCTATGCTCATATAATTCATATACAAACATATATAATTTTTTGCATTGCTTTTGTCAAAAAATAAGATCATTTTATATAACTTCGCTTTTTAAAGAAATAGCAAATCAACTGAAATAGAGCTAATTCAGTCTTTTCACAGTCACATAATATGCTTTTATAGATCATAGTAGATGATGCTGGTGTTCCACCCAGATTCCCTTTGCTAGCCTGGTACACCTGCCCCCAAATGCTCTGAGTGTATTGGCTACTGATGGCTTACAGTTATCCCCTTCTCTGGAGAACTGTTCTAAGCTTAAACAGAAGGGAGATTATGCATGGGAGATTATTATGCCCACCCATCTCCTGTCTATGTATGTGTGGAGGAGGAGGCGGTTAGCAAGGCAACCCTCATCATCCCCTTTGCTAGCCTGGTACACCTACCCCCAAATGCTCTGAGTGTATTGGCTACTGATGGCTTACAGTTATCCCCTTCTCTGGAGAACTGTTCTAAGCTTAAACAGAAGGGAGATTATGCATGGGAGATTATTATGCCCACCCATCTCCTGTCTATGTATGTGTGGAGGAGGAGGCGGTTAGCAAGGCAACCCTCACCAAGGCCTTTACACATTCTTACTTACTTATGTTTTCATTTGTAAGTGTTAGAGTCTAATGATTCTAACAAGTAATAAGTTAGGTAAAAAAAAATATGCGTACTCTTTAATAAATATTGCCTAATTATTTTCCAAAAGGCTTTAACAATTCACATTCCCACCAGCAATGCAGGAGAGTACCATTTCCTACAACTCCTTCTCCACTATAGTAGCTCTGCCAATAATAGATATTATGTTTCTTATTTTGTTTTCTTCAATTGTATTCTCCTGGTTATTTTAAAGTTTCTGATTACTAGTACATTTGAGCATTTAAAACATGGTACAACTTCCAGTTTCACATCTGGCATATAAGTAGCTTAGAAGTCTCCACGATGCCCTAACAACAAGTAAAAAGCTGAACAAACCGAAAAATCAACACTCTTGTTAGATCTGTAAAAGGTGGTTCTGACCCACAAATTCCAATGTGTATGTGTTGGGGGGGGGTCCCCACACCAACAAGCAATACTCTGGACACCAGTAGAGTATCCTACAATTTAACTCAGTTCTGACACTGTCTGCTGGGAGACAGCATCAGATTCCACAGGCTAAAGGCTGTCCTACAAGACCACACCACCCCCCACCCCCACATATGCTTTAGACACCAATCCAAGTCCAGATTGTTATCTGTACTTCTGACTAACTGGCTTTGGTTCAATTAATTTTCTAAAGTGGTTCATAAAACTCCGAGAAACATTTTACTTACTAGATCACTGGTTTATTACAAAAGGCTATAACTCAAGATAGCCAAATTGAAAGAAAAGCATAGAGCAAGGCATAGGGAAAGCTTGCAGAGCTTCCATGCTCTCTGAACACGCCATTCTCTACAAATCTCCATGTGTTCACCAACTGGAAGCTCTCTGAACCCCATCCTTTTGGGTTTTTATGGAGGCTTCATTACTTAGGCATGATTGATTAAATATGAGCCACTGGTGTTTGATTCAACCTCCAGCCACTCCCCGCTCCCTGGAGGTCAGGGGGTGGGACTGAAAATTCCAACCCTATATTCTTGGTTGGTTCCCCTGGCAACTGGCCCCCATCCTTAGGTGGGGGTCCGAAAGTCACCTCATTAACATAACAAAACACACTTTAGTTCTCATCACTTATGAAATTTCAAGGATTTAAGAAGCTCTGTGCCAGAAACAAGAGATAAAGACCAAATATGTATTTCTTATTATAATTCACAATATCATAGTCCATCAGAGAAGTGAGGTCACAAGACAAAACAGCTACCACCAAAACAGGAGAGACAGACAGAGTAGATACAGAGAATCACAACTTGTCAGAGCAGTAACCAACAACTTCAGGAACCAGTACAAAGGTTTGAAAACAAACTATAAATAATGAATTTCTAGAGGCTCAGTGTGGACAATTCTGAGAATTAAAAACTTGAGGGGGGACCCAGTCATAGGGGAGTTCTACACTTTTGTGAGTTTTATCTCTCTACTAGGTATTTACAATGAAAATCAAAGAAAAATCCCCTTGTGCTTCTAACAGGATGAGAGGAAAAGCAACCACCTGGAATTACATCAGAACATTTTGTTCTTAACAATGCCAGACTCCAAGAGAAACTATTTTTCCAAAGCCTATTTTGCAAAACCTGCTGGGGTTTTATCAGAGTCTAACCTACTTGGGGGAAGGGAAATACCCAACTCTAGCTCCATCTATTCTTCCAGGTAGAAGAAGGGAAATATGTACCTCAAGCCCTCTCCAGCCAGCCTGTTTCATCTAAAGAGATTAACCTGGAAGGCACTGATGAAGTTCATAGTCCAAGAGCATGAGCCCACCAAAAGACTGAGACCTAATCATAAGACTAGAGAATGCTTCCCCTCTCCCCATAACTTACCACTCACTGCATTACTAACTACCTATTTACCACAGTACCTTTTGCCCAGTACATCATGGCTGCCTTTTAAAAAATTATGTCATACTAAAGACAAAAAACACAGTTTGAAGAGACCGAACAAGCATCAGAACCAGAGTCAGGTAGGACAGGAATATTGGAATTACCAGACCAGGGATTTTAAAAATATATGATTAATATGCTAAAAGCTTTAATGGAGAAAGTAGATAACATGCAATAAGAAATAGATACTTTAAGCAGAGAGATGTAAATTTTAAGAAAGAATCAAAAGGAAATGCTAAAGGTCAAAAACACTTATAGAAATGAAAAATACCTTTAATAGACGCAGTGATAGTCTGGGCATAGCTGAGGAAAGAATTAGTGAGCTTGAGGATATGACAATAGAAACTTCTAAACTGAATAGCAAAAAGAAAAAAAAAAGCTTGAAAAAAAAAACAGAACAGTCTGACAAACCCATATTATTTAAGAATTAAAAGAAAAGAAAAAGAATATTTTAAAAATTTAACTGGG